TGGCCATTTTATACATCAACTGATATCCTTCCTCCCTAGCGAAGCTCTGGAAAGCCCTCCGAAACCACAACTGATTTGGCCCCAGCCACCCGCCCCTGTAAATTCGCTGCTCGGAGGCTGCTGCCAGCCCCCCAGGCAGAAACTGCGAGGGGGAGAGGGATGCTCCCCCCGACTCGCACGCATACCAGCACCGGTCCCCGCGGCCAAACAGATCTGGAAACTCATCGCAGCTGTGCTCTGCTTTTGAGGTCTCAAAAGGATGGGGCACGGCGCGGCCGACCGCGGCAGACAGCAGCCCTTCTGAGCACAACGTCCCTTTCACAACCCCGCTCCCAAATCTAAATGCTGGCTGGGTAACACAGCCGCAGTTCATCGGCTGCGTAAAGGGCGGTGTATAAATTAGACCTGAGCAAAAACAGTCGCTTGGGGTGTTCAGGGGAGGTGGACGCATAATCCGCCGAGCGGGGCGGCTGGCTCCCCGTGTGCTGCCGAGCAAAGCCCCTCGGCTTGGCCGGGCTGTGGTGCAGGCGTGACGCACGCATGGTTAAGGAAGACGGCTCAGCAGCGAGTGAGGATTTAACTGGATGCGAGGATGACTAACTTCGCTGTCTGAAACATAATCTCTCTCTTTCAACCCCTTAACTTCGCCGTAACCCTCTTCCAGGCAGCGCCGCAACCAGCCTGGCTTTGTTCTGACAAGTTGCACCTTTGCTGCACAGACTCATTAGGCAAGCGGGGAGTCACCCAAAGATACATTGCTTTTCCTCCAAGCTTATCCCACCCTGACTTCTCCAGCGAACGCCTCTCATCATTTTTGTCTGCAGGAGTTTTTGACAGTGGTGCGTGTCCATTAGAGTTTTCCTGTGCCAGCAGCTGAATCAGGCTAACTGTAGCAGAGCCTGTGTAGAGAAAAGTTGCTCTCGATTCAATTAATTCGGAAGAAAAACATCCCCATGCAATTTTTTTTTTTTTTTTTGAATGAAGGGGATCAGAAACAAACACTTTTCATCACATATTTCGGGGCATTAAACTACAAGTATAAAAGTTTAAACAAAGACTGTGTCCCTAAGCAAATCAGTCCTAGTGATTTAGCCGTAAAGTTTATAGATGAACTTTAAAGAAAATAACGTGGTTCAAACAGATCTTGCCTTCTGGGCACTAGCAAACACACCTGCAGCCATTTGATACTTGGGGAATGCAGATTACAAGTCCTTCACTTCAAAATGTTTGTTTTTAAATTCAGAAAGATGAAAGAAAATAAAGTACTGAGCTTTTTTCTGTTGAGCACAGATGTTTCCAGTATTTCCACTGCTTGCAGGGAACGAGAATCTGACCCAAACATCACAATAATCTGGAATTCAGAAGGAAAACGCATACCTTCTGGAGTCCCATCTTCACGAACTTTCTGAAAGTTAATACCTGCTAGATTCTCTCTGGGCAAACGCCTCCCACCAAATCGAAATAAGAACTGTGTACTACGAGAGCCTTGACATCCTATTACATTCTGCTGCCATACCCGTAACTTTTGCCTTCATCAAATTTCTTACTCTTCTAAGCTTAACAAAATGCGGTAGGCAGTAGTCTTCTACTTGATATAATTAGCTGAAACACTACATACTGCCAAACAAACTTACTCTTGTTTTGGGCCTGCTCATTTGGTTTTTTGCCTGTTTAATTAATGAAGACTAATGAAGACGTTTCTTAATAGGCTTTTCCAAGACCAAAGGAAAAATCGCCATTCCTTGCAGCTCTTTCTCTCTCAGGGCCTGTCCCGTTCCCACTTCTGCAGTAGTTAGCTCACGCTTCACGAAAAGTTACTCGTTTTCTCTCACTCAGTATTTGTTGTCGCTGCATTACAAGGGAGAAGAAAATTCTCCCTTACTTAAAGAAGTGTAAATTACTCATTCTTGCAATCTTAACTCTTTTGTCCTCTTAAGAACTATTCTCATCTGTTTATACTGCCCTGATTTTTGTCTTATGAGGAAAGGAGGGAGAATGACTCATGATTAAAAGTGCAGTCCGTTCTGCTCTCGTTTCTGAATCTGTAATTTTCTTTGCAAACAAATACTTTCTTCTCAAACGTATAACAATATAACTAATATCACATCAAACATAAACACATCTGAGCGCAGAATTAGGTATTTTTTTGGTGTGCTCGTAACACATCTTGCAATATACAGTGGCTAACGTTTGGGTTGCAACCCATAGCAGGTTTTTCCTCCCACAGCGGGGAGGAAAAAAATACCACACAAGCTAAGGTCATGTTTGGGTTGCGCCTTACCCTCTATTTTTACTTTGCAGGCCCTCGTGGACTAGAAAATTCGTGATGCTGCAGGAGTGCACTTGCTTAGTGAATCATAACGGGATTAACATACTGAAGATGTGCTGAAGTTGGAGACCTACAGCATTCTGCCCTAACCCCTGCAATGGCCAATTTTGCCAGCGTTTCAGTTGAAACCCTGGTGGATTTCTGGGATAGTTACTGGCCCGTTCAGAGCCTGCACTATCCACGTCCTAGTCCCTCAACAACCATTTACCTTTTACTCTACAATCACGTCTCTATCAAAGCAATATTTCTAAGGCCTAAAGCAATGGCTGCAGGTGTACTGCTTTTATGGCAGAGCCAAAAATAAAACAACATACTAGACCAAAAACCCTAGCTACAACACGTCCAACAATTTCAAAATTTGGCTACAATTACATTCCATTAAATTGTAGAGGTCGTCATAAAAATAGAGAATCAGGAAACACTTGAGTTAGGATTAAACATTGCTATCTTTGTATTTATAAGCACTGGAGCAACATTTAAACCATTAAAAGCTTTCTGGATCACAAAAATTCTGGTTTTGTCATTATTTTCATGAGATGCAAGATAAAATCTTACATGTTGAAAGAATTCTAGTATTTTATAATCTGTTTACATACATTTACCCCCACACATAAAGTGCTTACACTGTCTTCAAAATTAAAAACAAAACTTGCTCTAGAAATCAAACAGAATTCTTCATTTGGACCCTAACTAAATTGCTTTTCCACATTTCTATACCATTAACTTTCACAGTTCAAATTACAGCCACCGTATTATGATTCAGGTTTCAGCCTGATTTTAAATTCCCATGCAGTGAAGATTAATCCTGTTGCTTACAAAGTTACAAGACTGGATTCCTGAATGCACTTTCCTGTATTTTTTATTTACTCTTGTTAATATGAGTTTCTTTGATTAGCTAAACTTTGCTGTTATCAACACTTGTCTCTTATCACAGGCCCTAGGCAAACGACATATTTACCACTCATTCCATTCTGATAAGGGTAATCCTGTGTTTAACTTGCCCAAGAACAAACACCATATATTTCGGTTTTAAGAATCTTGCTTCTAGGTATTAACAACATACAAGAGAATGAGCAGGACATTTTTAAACTAGAAGTTATTTAAAGAATATTTTTCCAATGTAAGCTTTTAGCAACAGCATATGCCTCCTACTCCAGGAAAGTTTATTTAATTCCAAGTTTCCGCAATATCACCGCTGAAGTTATACTAAAGTTAAACCATGGAAGGAGGAAAACACATTTTTAGAAAAACATCTGTTTCAGGGTTTTTTTTCCCCCCTTAACTGAAGCTCTCCCATAGTTAGTAACATTATTTTTAAGTAACAGCTTTGTTTCATATCTTGTTTGAAGCATTTTGAAAACAGCACGGAGAAAATAAACATCCCATGCTGAACTTCACAGTCTAACTTTAATTGTAAAGACATCAAAACATTTGCAGTGTTGTAGGCTGGTAGTCACTGATTTTTACAATTCTGTTTTCATTACTCAACCCACACAAACGTCATATGGTGAGTGAAAACTTTTGAGCAGAGCGGAAAACACACTATTTCACCAAACATTTTTTTATTTATTTTTCAATTCCCCCCTCCACCCCTTTGAGACAAACTGTAGCAAAAGGGAGAAGTATTCTAAATCCTAGGTAACTTTTTAACATACCGCAAAACAAAACTTTCAAACAGAATTATACGGTTAATGGTGTACTGAAGTGCCCAAGAGCGTGCTAAAAACATTTTGATAGATAGCCAAGTCATTTATCTAAATCACCGTCAGAGCAGTGAAGCATCCTGCAAGCTTTTATGCAGAGTATAAGGTGATGCTTTGTGGCACTTTTTGTCATTTCTCAAACTTCAGACTGTGGTGTTAAAATACTGCCATTGTTTACCATCTATGTATTTCAGCGACAAATCAAGACCCTATAACATAATAATACATTTTCAGAAGGGTCCTACCACTAACTCTCTCTCCTCCGTTACCACTGCAACGCTGCTTGAATCTCAAGGTATAGAAATAATTGATGGTTAAACTCAAAGGGTGTTCACAGTAAGTAGTTTTCTAGCAAAACAGCAACTTCTTAGAGCAACAAAGTGAAGAAGAAAGGTGGCAGCAAGGTCAGTACAAAGAAATATTGCCTTTTCTTAGGAAACTTAAAACTACTGTCTGATTTTTGGAATGGCACCTACCCACCGCAATTTCACGTCTTTGCAAGAACAGTACAGAGCAGCATTTTAATTGCTTGGCTGCTCTGCTAAAATGCATTTCGAGACAACACACATCCAGATTATCAAGTGTGCTAGAAAATTAGATTAAGGACGCAAAGAAAAAAAAAACTACCAAAGAGATGCTATGTAAATTTGTCCTTCGCTGGTTGGAGTTTTGCAAGTATTTGCTGTTGTTATAATTTTATGTGTTCCTGCTTGGCTCCAGAACTGTTGTTAGGATCAATATGCTACATGAGAAGGGATAAACCGAAAGCAGCCTGGTGCTTCTTTCCTTTTTCCTTTCTCGCCAAAAGGAGAAAAAGAGCTTGCAAACCACATTTTGCACAAAACCTGCCCCCCGCCCCTCATTACCCCTGCGCTTAATTACAAGTATCTTTTTTTAAAATACATGCAAATAATAATAATTAATAATAATAATAGCTTTAAAGTGGAAAAATAACAGTTGGGACCTACATTGAGCACTGTGCCGGTGTTGCCACTCTGTTTGTGCCAATCCACTGAAGCATGCTTTGAGAGCCTTCTCCTGGAGCATGCAGGAAGACGGACTCGCAGTGTAGAAATCCAGCATCTGAGCAGGGCTCACTGCTAGAACATCCATACAGTCAAACATGATTCCCCCTGCACAGAATGCCTGCAAAAGTGCTTTCCTCTAGGTGTG